TTAGCTTTCCATGGTCTCCAGAGCTCATTATGGGTTTAGCTCATCAGGCTCTGTTGTCCATACCATGGTTCATGCTCTTAAAATGTGTCTTTGCCAGCATCTGCTATAAAAATGCTTCCCTCCAATTACTCCAAAAAAAAACCCAGGGCCAGTAATGGTGCTTTTTTCTCCTCTGTGACATTTTCTAGTTCAAGAAGTACTTCATCCTCACAGCTGAGTTTCCTTAGGCTGCACATAGGTTGGGTTTGAGAGCAAATGATGAACCAAAGCATTATGTTTTAGCTTAAACCCTTCAAAAAGAACAAATAACTGATGATGAATTTTCAAGGGGATTGTGCCTCAGGGTACAGACATGAAGCCTCTTTTGCTTGCACAGGGTAACACAATCAGATCAAGCCTCCTGTATATATAATGCCCAAATCAAGCCTTGTTAGATCAAGATTCACAAATCTACTTTGCCACCTCATAGTAACAGCAGGAAAATCAGAAACAGAAAAAGAGAGACTTGGTGTTGCTTCTGACTGTCTCTACTCCAAATTAAGCTCTTTCTGTGCAGGTTGAGGATGACACAGCTGCTGCTGAGCATGTCAGATTGATTTTGCTGGGTATGTGCCTGCGTGGGACTGCTTTTTAATTTAGTAACTGGAGGGTTAATTAGCTCTGTGAGTGTAAATAAGTTGGTTAAGCAGAAGTCCAGAAGAAATGCCACGTTCCAGTTGACTAAGACCTAGCAGTAGACTAAACATGTAGCAAAAATAACCAATCTGCTTTCCTGAACACCTATTTGCTAAATTGACATGAATCCAGAGCTGTGCAGAAGTCGGAGAGCTGCTGGCAACAAGATGGCAAGGCTGTTCCTCAGACCTGAGGGATTCTGAAAGGTTTTCTGTAGGAAGATTCAAGTTGCATGTTTAGTAAGAGAAGTCTCTGATACTTAGAGCCTGTAAGTTTATTTCATAATTTCAAGTGTTTTATTTAAGAAGCAAAGATCCTTCTCCCAGAACATACTTAAGGAAAGTTGTTGCACCATATGACAGTCTGCAGAATGGTCATTTCATGTTTTGTCAGCAACTGAAGGAATTTAGATGGTTGAGAAGATAAAGGCAAACTAGCAAATGGTTCAAATGGGCTCTCATTGTTAAAAAAAAAGGTAAAAGTATTCCAATGACAATATTGCCAAATTAAAAAAAATCAGATGAAACCTAAAAGATTTTGTCTTGGTAACTAAAACTGGAACTTCATCATGGAGGTCAGATCAATATCTCCATGCCAACATTTCCAAGTCACACTGGCTTTTCCATTATGAACCATGGTCATTAGTGTCCATTCTGGAAAATCCTTGGACAGTTCAAATAAAAAAAAAAAAAAAAAAGAGACCTTCCCTGGATACTCTGACTGAAAAGTATTTGACATTTTCTCAGCAGTTTAAATGTTTGGGAAGATACTAAAATGCATAGCAAAAGCAGGAAAATATAAAGGGATTATTTTTCTTTGAAAACCAGAAAATTCAAAAGCCTTCATTCACTTTGAGAAGAAATATAACAGAGTTAGGATTCTGAGGGAGGACTTATCCCTGATTTAACCTAGAATCATAGAATCATTAAGGTTTGAAAAGACAGATATTTCACAGGATATTCTGACCTGGAAGGGTCCCTCAAGGATCACTGAGACCTCCAAATTCATCAAGTCCAACCTTTGACCAAACACCACCACATAAAGTAATCCTGTAATTGTCCACTTGTTTCTTGAACACCTTCAGGGGTGGTGACTCTACCACTTCCATGGACAGCCTGTTCCAATGCCTTAAAGCCCTTTCTGGAAATTCTGACACTCTCCCTGGTCCAACCTTGACCTCCCCTGGCACATCCTGTGGCCATTTCCTCTTGTTCTATTTGCCTGGGAGAAGAGGCCAAGTCTACCTGGCTACAACTTCCTTTCAGGAGATCTTCTGAGGATAACCAGTCTTTCTGTTAAAGGCTGAGGTAAAGAAAGCATCAAGTACCTCAGTGTTTTCCTCATCCTTGGTGCCAATGTTTTACCCTGGGTCCATTAAAGGAATGAGATTTTCCTTGGCCCTTATTTTGCCGTTAATATATTTATAAACCCCCTTTTATTTCCTTTCACAGCAGTGTCCAGATTGAATTCTAACTGAGCTTTTGCCTTTCTAATTTTCTCTCTACATGACCTAATGACATCCTTATATTCTTCCTGAGTTGCCTAACCTTTCCAAAGGTCATAAACTATTTTTTCCCTGGGTTGCTGCAAAAGCTCTGTGTTAGCCTGGTTGCTCTTCTTCTCCAACAGCTCATCTTTCAGCACATAAGGACGCTACTTCTGTAACTTCAAGATCTCCTTCTTGAAGCCTTTCTGAACTTCTTTGTTATTCAAGATTCTTTCCCAAAGGACTCTGAACCAGTGTCCTAAACAGGCCAATGTCTGCTATGCCCTGTGGGAACCCAGGACACCCCTCTGGCTGTCCTGAGCAGCCCAGATCCCTGCCAGGGGGCTCAGAGACCCTGGCACAGAGCCCAAAATGCCCTGTGTTTTGACTATGACCCGTGGAGCAAATGACCAACCTTATATGAAGAGCAACAAGGCACAACAGTTTAGGTAGAATAACAGTGAAGTTATCACGGGGTGAAAAAGTAGATTTTGGGGTTTTTAGAATGGGAGTTCAGGAGGGTAAGTTGGAGCGATTTGGGTGTGTCCAGCCTTTCCCCTTTTTCTTCTTGGCCTCCATCTTCTGCTGTGATGTTGGCACTTATAGATTGGTTTCGAGTAGAAGCTCATTGTCTAACAGAGGTGATAGGTATTGGGATGTAATTGTAAACATTGTACAGGTAGTTTTCAGTATAGAGACATAACACTGCCCCGGGGGCAGGCAGAGTGCCTGGAACTGTCCTGCTGGATGGACCTCGGCAGGGCAGGAGGAAGAATTTTATAGATAAGATACAATGAACAATCTTGAGACTGAGAAATGAAGAGCCCTGACTCCTTCTTCAAGCACTGGGCTGGGAAAAGAGACTTTGGAACTCTTCTTGGGGTCACTCTGACCAGTGAGAGCCCCCGACAATGCCCAAGATGGCCTCTGACCATCACATTTCCAACTTGCACTCAACTGCCTCATTCCCTAGGGATGATTCCAAACATCACCATTTCCCTCCAAATTCTGGGCTTTAACATCCACCTTGTTCTCAGAAACACACTTAGGAATGATGTATTAGTGATGAAAATCCCGAGTGCAGCTATGCTGGACTGAAGAAGATGCTGTTTTTCCTCAGTAACACATTCAGGAAATATTGTCACTCTCCATTTTTAGCCTATTCAGTTCTAGGGGAGCACACACATACACTACATTGAAGTGTCTCATTTGTATACATCAGGCCATCCACATTTTACCATATGGAGGTATCACATTATTAATAGCTGTTTTCCTTAAATAGGCTACAGTTTGCTTAATCTTTCTTTCTGTGCATGATCTTGCAAGAGTAAAAAGGCTTTCATACAAAGGCTGTGTTTTTATATGCAAATCTATTATTTGATTACTGACTTTTTTTGTCTTTACATTATCATGAATATTTCTGATGAATGTTTTATGGGTTAGGTTTAGGATTTGTGAGCTATTTCAAATTTTATCTGTTTGCTATATCATCTGCAAATACCACAGTTTTGTTGATGTTGATTGGCCTCATTTACATATTTATCACACTTCTATTTTCAAGGAAATTTCGCTATAAACTCACTGTCCCCATTTCTCCTCCATGTACTACCAGTAAATGGATGTATTTTCAAATTGAGCCCATTTCCATATATAATTTTTTTGGTTAACAATAAATCACCACTTAGAAACATCCCATTCAATGCCTTCATACATATCTGACATATGGTTTCTGAGAAATTAAAGATAACAGAAGCAGCTCACAATGCACTTTGCAGCCCACTTCACAGCCCAATGTGCTCAATGATTTTCCATAAGGACAAGGCTAAAACGAACCCTCACCACCTTCTTGCTAAATCCCTTACTCATGCAGGAGTACAGGGAAGAAGGGTAGGAATGATGCAGAGTCACTTTGGAGTTCTGCCATTGCACACACAGCACTGAAAAAGGTGCTGCATTTTAAGTATATTTCCCCACCCACACTGCTCTTGGGTGAACAGCCTGTTTGTGATTCCCTCCTGTCAGGGTGCAAGTGCTGCTCTGTTTCTAAGAAAAATGGGATTTGCCCATATATGAGATATTTCAGAAAAATCATACATGAGGCAGAATAGTTCTGATTGGACAATGAGGTTTATAATTTTTGGGGCTAGCACCAGCTAAGCCATAGATTTCCTGTTGTTAAAGAGAAGTAGGAAACATGTTACACAGGGTTTTCCCTTCTAGTGGTGGAGCTGCAATGCCTCCACAACAGCGTACTAATGAATGCAAGATACATCTGTTCATCAAAGGTGCTCATAATTGTACCTCCAGGCTGATCACTAAAATTCACAGAAATGAGCTGCTTACACTCTTTGTGTACTAAGATTTTTGGATCTATCACCTGTTAGAAAATTCTCTCGTGCATCCTGCCAGCTGCCTCTGAGCATGCACAAAACAATCCTATTTAATTCATTAGTGAAAAGAGAATTAGCTGGCCTATTATTAACAGGAGCTCTTTCCTCCATAATCTTTCCAACTACTTCATTCCAAAACTCACAAAATATTCAGTTTCCTGTGGTCTTCTGCTATGGCACAGTATTTATTACCTGCAATGACACTCCATGCTCAACCAACCCTTTGACTGAAGACTGCCTGGTTGCTGATATGAAAATGTATTTATGACAATATTGTTCTGGAAGGTGTCAATAAAAAAAATTCCATTTTTTTTCTTTAGACAGAAAGATAAAACTATATGAATCTCAGTGATAGGAACTTACTCACAGTCTGTAAAAGGAGTTGCAATCAGAAAATGCTGCTTGGAGTAAAATAGTTGGTTCCTAGTAAATATTAACACAATACGTACATTTTCTCTAGGTCAACAAGTCCTGTGAAAGCTCCTTTGGGAATGACTCTCATCTTGGTGAGGACAAATCTCCTGAAAATAGAGAAAACAGGGTGATTATTTACTATTCACAGCACAGGACTGTGCAGTAGCCTTGCCAGGACAGGAGAAGCCTTTCTCACAGGCACAAGGATGGCTGAAGTCTTTGGCATCTAAATACATCTGTAACATCCAAAATTTCAGCACAGCATTGGGGCTCCTCAGGGGCAAAAGCATCATTAGTAGTTGCCATTTCCCTTTTTGCTACAGGAAGAAATCCAGACTTGCAGCTTCTCTGTTTGCTGAGAGGGAACAGCATCTTTCTCCTCTCAACTGCTCTTTTGAGTGATGCTCAAGCACAGGATGAAGTAACCTGTGGAGCCAGACTGGGATGAGCTGCTTACTCAAGGCTGTAAAGTGCTCCATCCACGCTCATGCAGGAAAATTCCTTGACCTGCTTGCTGCACAGATAATTTGAGGGGTCAGCTACTGTGTCCCATCATTGCAATTTTAATAACTTTATGGCTTCTCACAGTCTCTCTTCTAATTAGTTCACAATGTGCCATAAAATAGGGACTTTGGAACACTCGATCACACATGCACCAGGACAACACTTTTATCATTTTTAAAGGTCACAGAATATGCTTTATGAAGAAAACCCAGTTGAAATACCCATTTAAAATATTTGAAGTGTAAGGCTCTTTGTTAACCTGGAGTTGTCTTCTTTAATCTCTATAAACAAAAAGGACTAGAAAACTTCTGATAGAACCCAGCAAATGATATATAGGGTTTCTACTACTCCTCAGAGAAATAAGGTGTCATCTGCATGATTGTTTTCTTTCACACATTTAATCATTGATAAGAAGCTAGCACAAACAAATGCATATGACATGACCTGCTCATCACAAGCCATCAGACATTGGTTGCATTGAGAGACAGTTCTTAAAAAGGTTTTTTTTCTTTATTTTAAAAAAACACCCACCCAAGTTTCACACATGAACACGTTACATACATATATCACATCCTGGGATTCAGTTACTTATTCTATTTTTCTGTGGAAGGGGAAATGGATTTTTTTCTGCATTACTATGGAGTTATTTTATCTAGTGAGCATATCTGCCAGACCACCCCTAATTTTCATCATCTCAGAACTGGTTTTGCATGGCTGTTTAGGATCACCTTTCAGCTCATATGCTGTCTCATTGTAAGGTCTGCAGGAGGACAGAAATGAGAACTCAGTCTGCTATTACCTGCTGTGCAGTCCTGCAAATTTTAACACAATGCCTCAAAACTAGAGACTTACTTCCTTACCATTCATATAAAGTATTCATGCAATCCTCATCTATGTTTTATTTCAGATGATTAGCTGAGAATTTTCATGGGAGATTATCATGTTTTAATCAAAAATTTTAGGGGAAAGTACCTATTATTCTGTCAGAATACCAATGTGACAAGTTCACATTTTTTAATTGTAGGTCTTTAAGAGACTCTACCCCCTCATGAGTTAATATTTACTTAAGCAAAAAAAGTCAATGCACACCCCACCTAGTTCCAGAGATGTCATAGTGATTACACCAGGAGTGAACTTGGTCCCACACTTTTTTTAGACATTGAAATTTATGGTTTTCTCAGTTGTGAAAGACGATGAAGTCAATTTTGTATTTCATTATTCTTGTACTATCGTTAATGTAAATCAGAAAGAGCTTCAACACACTGTCACACAAGAATTACAGTATTGAGATCATTATGCAAATGTTAGAAGGATAAAAGAGCTTCCAGAAAAGGCCTAACCTGGATTAGGCAATTTGTAAAACCCGACTGAAAACGGGGTTGGTGTAATGCATGCAAAGCTGAGGCTGTGCTTTCAGAGTGGATGGGTACAATGGATCCTTGCAGAACACCCAGCAGGCTTAGTGCTACAAAGCTGAACCATCAGGAAGCCCTTTAACTTTGATCTGCTTTGAAATCTCTCTCAAACTCTGCTTTGTAGAAATGCACACCTAATTTCCGAGGCCTAAAATAAAGGGCTTTGTCTGAAAAGCCATCTATCATTTTTTTTTTATGGCAATGTACTAAAATGAATCCTCTCTCTGCAGGCACAGGTCATCAGGACATTTGCAATTTTTAATTAAACACTGGCCTATGCTGTGCTTCACCACAACAAGAAATTACAGTCTGATACAGAAACCAATGAAAAGAAGGGAACCTCATTCATGGATGGGGTTACTGATATGAGAAAAGCCTCATCTGCATAAAACTAAAAATCAGACCTTGAGTTTCTTTGTTAGAAGATCCTGATATCCTGTGTTAATAAGGTGCCAGAATTCAGGATCCACGTGTCTAATGCCCTGAAGCAGTTAAAACAGAATTGAAGTTTAATGGCTGAAATCTCATATTCCACTTAAAAAAAAAATTAAGGTTAATTGTTTTTAAACATCTCTGCATGAGCTATAGAAAGTCAGACTTCAAGGCATAACTAACAGTGAAAATTAGAACCATCTACTCATTGAATTATCAATTGTATAATGAATAGAATCTATTATAACTAGCCAAATTCTTTAGTGTCAATAAATCTCACCAATTAGTCTCCAAGAATCAATCTGTACTTAACATGAGATACTGGCTGTTCAGTACCAATTCTTTCTGAGCTACATAGAGAAAATAAATGGAAAGCATTACCTAGGTTTTGTTTCTGGCACTATTTTAGGGTCAAATAAATGAATACAGCCCACCTTTGCTCAAGCATGTTTCATGTCAAGAGAAGCAAGTAAAGAAAAGCTTCCTTTAAAAAATGTGTACTTAAGACAGAGTTGCAGCGTTTGGTCCTAAAAATTTATGTTGGCCCTTAGGTACCAGCAAGGAAAGCATTGAAAGGCCTAAATATTCAGTGAATGGTGTGGGATTGAAAACCCAGAGCCAGGTGCCCAACACAAGGCATGAGAAGGTCCCAGAAAGGACTCCAGTGTTGGAGCCATCAAAAACTTAACAAATGACACATCAGGAAGCATGGAAAAGGAAACAAGCACCAGATGGTCGCATGGTTATCCTGCATTGTGGGAAGGCAATATACATAGCTGGAAATAGAAAAATGGCAATATTAACTACTGTTATTAACTATGTAAAAGGATAGATTTCAGTCTGGCCCATTGCTTCAATGATATCCAGGAGAGGTTTCTAAATCCTGGCTTAAGTATCTGTTGAAAGGGATTCTTGGGGAGTTTATTGGTAGGGACTGAAGCTGCCTGCTCCAGTTTTACAATTACACTCATAATTTCTATATTTCTCTGGACTGAACATACAAAATTCCCACAGCTTTTTTCCATTTCTCATTTTTAATTGTTTTACATATCCCTATTGCATCAACTTCATTTGTCCCATGAATGGGTTTGAGTATACTCCTGTATTATAAAGCTACTAAAAAAAATGTTACAACTTAAAGCTAGACCTGTCAAGATGAGGACAGAACTATCTCCTATAGATTTGTTTATTTTTACAGGACATTTAAGCCTGATGTTTAAAACAGTAGCATCACTGACACAGATGACTTGCACTTTATACCACTATGAAGAACAAACAATAGAAATGCATTTTGTTTCTGTATGGCTGTGTCCAGTATCACAGAAATATCACAGTGGCAAATTAATCTGAGAGCCTGTAGAGGACATGATGCAAAGAACAGAAATTAGCAGACACTGCTAAAATGTTCTGGAATAACCCTCTAACATTTCCAGTTATGAAGAGATTTATTGATCTTTTCTTAAAATAGAGTCTTCAGCTGAAGTAGTTCAGACAGGCAGAGCATAAGACATGAAGGAAAAAAATCTTCAGAAAAATTAATGTTCTTTCATGCAGCCCCACATGATTCCAGTGATAGAAAAGAGATTGACCTCTTAATGAAAGGATGGAGGGCTGGATGTCATTATTTAAATACCTGATGCTCAAGGTACGGGTGATTAAAAAGGCTTGTAAAATTCGAAGATTAAAAAAAAAGTGGAATTATACAGGTCACTTCTGCTAATTGTCTCTGAAAAAAAAGTGCAAAGGAAATCTGAAGCCAATGTAGCTACACTGTGTTTGCGAGGTTAGCCATTTGTGTTCAGAATGGTGCATTTTACATATTCATCAAAAGAATTCTCAGACCCTGGTCCCACAAGTTTTTCTTGAACAATTAATAAGGTGCTCTTTGGCACAAATTTTCCACCAGAACTTGCTCCCACAATGATTTTTTGTCCCCTCCTCCCAAAACCCTTCCTTGGCACAGGCCTCCCCCTGCCACTGGCAATAACCTTGCACAACAAAGAACTGCACTGATTATCAGAAATTAGACTGGTTAAAAAAAAATAAAACAATTTCTGCATCATAAAGCCTGGCTGAATTTAGGTCTTTCGAAACACTCGTTAAAACACATTTCTTAGATCTACTTAAGTCACACACAGTTAATCAGAAAAGTGTGTGCATTGTGGAATTATCTTCTCTGCCTCATGTAAATTGCAAATTCATCACATTAAAATGAACTATATCAAGCAGATACTATAAAGTTTATAACTTAAAGACCAAAGGAAAATAAAATAAAAAGCCAAAAAGATTCAGTGACCATAATGCTAAATCACCAACTTTGGTTCCAAAGAAATAAATGTGATAGGATTTTGAAGAACATTTTTACTTTAATCTCTGAGCTAATAGACTGATGCTATCACCTTCTAATCCTCTGCAGAAATGTGCATTTTGTCAAACAAAGATTTACAGTGAAATTTAATTTACTCTCTGTAATTCTTTTTGGTTGTTTCTTTGTTGTTTCTTTGGTTTTGCTTCTTGCTTTGGAGGTTCCTGCACAAGCAACAGACGAATTTTTGCTTTACATAAGGGGAAGGCAAAATGATTCTATGACCTATTTAATGTGCCCTTGATTAAATGCACAAATCAACAAGATCCTGCATCCTGGTGGAGTGGGTTTTTTTCTGTTTTTTCTTGATTAGTCAATACAGTAGTGAAAGAATATTTTGCTTTTCATGCTGTAATAGGAGACAAATAGACACTGCAGACCACATCCCAGA